CTAATTAAAAAAAGCACAGCAGAGGATGTACTTCCTGAGGCAGCTGAAGAACTTTAACCTGCCAAAGACAATGATGGTTCACTTCTACACTTCCTTAGCAAAAGATCGTTTTTTGACAGATGCATGATGTTAAGATCACATGACTTCAACATCTCTTCTTCACCTGCATCTTCAAAAGTTCCTCCTCGACAATTTTCTTCATCAGCTGTCTGTCCTTGATGCTGAGCGACTCTCTCCCCACCTTTTCCAGGTATCTCCTCCGCAGAATGCCTAAACTCAGTGTACTGAAAGATGGCAGAGTAACAGCAAATTAAACATGTAAATAACTGCACAATAGCCAATCTCATTCTGATTGATCAATATAAATCAATGAAAAGTGTCACATGACTTTAACACTTCACATCATTCGGACACAGCAAACCGTTATAAAACACAAGTACACTTTCACTTTACAGTGCCTTCTGCATTAACACGAGTGATGTGATGCACAGACACATGTTTGTGCTTTCTATCTGTAAAACCGCTCAAGCATACGTTACTACTATACTCCAGTATTTCCTTCAAGCTCTTTTACGTAAGCTGCGTCAGACATGATTGTAGTATCCCTTGATCATATTTATTTACGATACCTGCAAATTAAAGCGCTTCTTATGCGATGTGACCGTCTTCATGCAAACATCTTACACTAACCACCCCTTTATATCTGTTTCTTTTTCCTTCATGTCACACGCTATTTAGGAGCCGACGTGAGACCTGACATGCGTTACCGAATTTCTCAAGCAACGAGTTTGATTCAGCCCTGACTTACTAACATAGCGTTCTTTGATATGAAACTTAAATGATGATAACATCCGTTTTGAGAGCACTTTCGACATTGCCTTCAACTCGCAGTTTACCTGAGGTCCGAACACTTGTGCAGTTCTCTCACAACGAACTTTCGGATCGAGTCCTCTTCTTTGGCCATGTTTTTTTTTTACACACCTGCGCCACTTTTTACTCCACTGCGTACTATGTGTGTGCGTACTAAGCGCGCAGCCCTACCTTGGCGCGCTTTGCTGTGCATGGCTACGTTACTTTACGTCATCGCGCACAATTACCGCTAGACGTGATCACGTAATAGACATAACATTGTAGCGTTGGTCAGAACGCTGCTTCATGTCCAATTATTAAAACCTTTTCTTTCATTAATTCACTTATAAGTGTGACCCTGGAGCACAAAACCAGTCATAAGTAGCACAGGTATATTTGTAGCAAATGAAATGGCCAACAATACATTGTATGGATCAAAATGATCGATTTTTCTTTTATGCCAAAAATCATTAGGATATTAAGTAAAGATCATGTTCCATGAAGATATTTTGTAAATTTCCTACCGTTAATATATCAAAACTTAATTTTTGATTAGTAATATGCATTGCTAAGGACTTCATTTGGACAACTTTAAAGGCGATTTTCTCAATATTTAGATTTTTTGAAATACATCAATGGAAAGCTTATTTATTCAAGAACAAAACAGCAATTGTTGCTACAGTGGTTTAACGTAGAGCTATACAAAAAGAAAGCAGGTGTGGATAGCTGTCCGTAAGATGCTCGACAAGCATGAAACTCGCATCAAATCCCACTCCCCCCCGGACATAACCACAGCTAGAAAAATGGAGAACTGGGGGTGAATTCGGTTAGCATCTGTTTATATAACCCTTGTTGTTGTGACTAGCAGGATTACCAGAACACACTCCTCCTGAACCGAAGAGGAATTCCGTCAGGATCCGCCACTTTATCAAATCAGGGATGCGTTTCACCGCGCGAGAGAGATTCTGACAACGAGGAGATGCTGCGTGTACAAAGAACGAGATCGCATCTCTTAACCCAGCGAGAAGAAACATCCTCGCCTTCAGACCTGATGCTGCGAGGGAACTTAACGAGCACACGTGCATATGCGGACCCTCACACGCGCACACAGGCATGCCGGCCCCCTGCTTCTCCCAGTAAGGGCCTCATACACTGCAGGTAACGCTTCAAAGATCGGCATCGCACTGCAGCGCCATGCCAGAAAAGAGTGGGGAAGAAAGAATAGAGAGAAGAAAAAAAGAAAATGAAAAGAGAGATTGTTATTTAAGCAGTCTTTCTAGTATGGCTTTTATGAATATAAAAAGACAAAAAGACTAAAAGATGGGTGGAGGGAGGGCGAGAATATTATGCAGAAGCACCTCCAATGACATTACAATAAAAAGCTCTTGTGGACCACTGTTGGTATGTGTTTGACATGAAGAGAAAAAGAGAGAGATGGAAGGGAAGGGAGAAAGCGAGTGAGCGAGCGCTCAGAGGGAGTCTCACCTGGGCCCGGCTCTGCTGCAGCCGTCTGCAGGAGATTCAGCTGCAGAATACCTAATGCGTGTGTGGAGGGGCGTGCTGTACAGCCCTGCTACTGGCCCCGGGCCATTCTGTATGATTAAGTCTTCTACACTTAAGGGATAAAGCCTTGCTCTCCTTCTCTCCCACTGGAAGCCATTAGCAGCCCCCCATTTGCAGCTCAGTGTGTGTGTATGTGTGTGTGCCCTGTGCGTGTTTGAGCCCATGCATTTGAATGGGTTCATACCCCTGTGTCTTTGTGCTCCTGCCTTGTTTGTGTACGAGTGTGTGTGTGTGTGTGTGTGTGTGTGTGCTACTTCCTGAGCAAAGCGTGTGTGATTTTGTCAGTACAAAACAGCTCCATGGCACCCTGGGATTAGTATCCAGCGGCGAGCTGTTTGGGCCCAGAGTGCCCCTTCCTTAGAATGGGCCCACGCAGGGCCAATGGATGCCGCCGCAACATCACGCATCACGATCAGGGGCCTGTTGGGTGTCCCTAAGAATTGGAAGCCCGGGCCCCAGACTGTTGCGCACACACACACACGCTTGCTCTGGATTAATCATGTCGGGGTCCATAGCTCTGTGGGTGGGCCGTTTGATCTCCTCCTGTCCAACATGTGGCACAAACATCATCACAAAAAACATGTGTGACACACACACACACACACAGAGTAGTGGTGAATTCTGAGGTTTTGCCATGTATAATTAAAGAAATTACAAAAGGAAAACCTTGTTGGTGGCGAATGGTGGCGGTCTGGTAAAATGGCTACAGGGTCTAAAATGTGATTGGATATGCTGAAATACCCACACCTAAAGTTAAAAGCTTACAGTTAGTAATAACAACAATGAAAAGTTTGTCTGCTAAGACTATTAGTAAACATAATTATTAATTGAATATTGGGTATTTTTATAGTAATTTTGGTAATAGACCGATATATCAGCCAATATTATATAACCACACTTGCTTGACCAAATATCATATGTGACCCTGGACCACAAAACCCGTCTTAAGTCGCTGGGGTATATTTGTAGCAATAGCCAAAAATACATTGTATGGGTCAAAATTATTGATTTTTCTTTTATGCCAAAAATCATTAGGATATTAAGTAAAGATCATGTTCCATGAAGATATTTTGTAAATTTCCTACCGTTAATATATCAAAACTTAATTTTTGATTAGTAATATGCATTGCTAAGGACTTCATTTGGACAACTTTAAAGGCGATTTTCTCAATATTTAGATTTTTTTTGCACCCTCAGATTCCAGATTTTCAAATAGTTGTATCTCGGCCAAATATTATTCTATCCTAACAAACCACCATACGTCAGTTGAAAGCTTATTTATTCAGCTTTCAGATGATGTATAATTCTGAATTTCCAAAAATTGACCCTTATATGTTTTGTGGTCCCTGGTCACAAATATGTTCATATGGAGTTGTTGGACAAGTCTTAAACAGCTACTTTATATGCTCTATTGTTTAAAAGATACTTACTTTTCTCATATTCACCATTTTCATCCTTCATCTGGTATGAATGTCATTTCGACACTCTGTTATAACCTACTGTCTACTTTTTATGATTGATTCTCGTGCTTTGGAATAAGTTTCCTTTGCTATTTTTGAAGACAAAATAAAATAACTTAACAAGGGTTTTACCAAAAAGCATTTTTATTGAAAATGTTAAAGGAATATTAATTCCAGTTGATTAATAAAATTCCAAAACAATATCCGGACGGCATTCCACATATACTAGTTTAATTGGCAGAATTAAGGGGTGTTTTTTGGTCTAGGACAGTGAGTGCGTACAATTATGGCTTACATTTGTCAATAAAACATAAATCATTTTGTGAAGGGGTTTGTACCGTAGTAGTAACTACTATTGTGATTCAAAGGAGCAATCTGTCTAGAAATGACCCTGAAATAAAATTACTTTTTTTTTTACTGCAGGTGTGGCAAGAAGTCTAACACGTCTAAACTTCTGTTTTAGAATGTATTGTTACATAATGCTAGAAACTATTGCAATCTTTTTCTTTTTAAACCAAAACAATATTAGTTTTATAAATATTCGCATGCCCATTGAAAATGTTAAACACTAATCGTGAGGCACAGTTGCGTAAAATGATTTACTTGTTATGTTTTCCTTTTATGTTACAAAAAGGATGTTAAAAACTGGACTCCCTGCTATCTATGGCTGCAACAACAAGCTTTGCACATTTGGTCAGTTTCCCAGAAGATCTGACAGTCCTAGACAACATGACACCTCCACCATGTACCCCTCAAGTCAGCATACATCACAGTTTACCATTGATCACCAAAAGATTAACTTTCACACGGCCCATACAAACAAACAAAACAACTTATTTCACATTGAATCTTGAAAAAGTGAAAATTCTGGACAATAAATTAACTGAATAATAAATTAAATTTAACAAAAAATGAAAAAAGGTCATGTAAATGTATCTCACAGAAAAAAATAAAACTGTACCACACTGTGGCAACTTCAGTATTATTTCTAAACTAGCCCATAATTACCCCCCACCCCTCCCATTTCAGTGCAGTATTAAACATACCAAAGTTGTCATTCTTTCCTCAACCAACTTTTCCATTGTTCACATGCATATTGGTAGTACAATGTCTTTGTATCGTTCTGATTCAGTCTTTGTAATCCCCGCCTCCCACACCTGCCCCTTCCTCCTCTGACTGGCCCACACCTGGCGACGAGACGCCCCCTGACTCCAGCAGGGCCATGCCTCCCGAACCTCGCCCATTTTCATAGATCAAAATGTTGAGTGTCTCCTCAAAGATTCGAGCTTCTGGGAACTCAACCTATGTGAACAGATGAAAAAAATGAAGTTAGAAAACACATTTATACACATAGACAAGACATTCAAGTCCCTTTTGCTCACTTTGGTCTGTTTCTTCTCAGTGGCATAAACAATAGAGGTGCAGCAGACTTCGGCAATCTTGCGTCCCTCGCCGTAAAAAGACCAGCAGCATATCTCATCTCCCAACACGTCTTTAATGAACAGCACTCTGCCATTAAAGCGCAGCCCCAGCTTATCGAACAGCTCAATGTTCTTCAGAAGGTTATCATCAGAGTTGCTGAGGAAACAGGGTAAAATTTATTGAAAAACAGCACCACTCATTGACATTTACATATTTGGCATACATTTTTTTAAATTCATGCATTCCCTGAAAATCGAACCCATGACCTTGGCGTTGCTAGTGCTATGCTCTACTGTTTGACAGACAGGAACATTTAAATGTCTCAATATCATTTTCTTACTGCTTCCTATAGTAACCAGGCATAATTACAAGGGGTCATTGAGCCACATGTCTTGTGTGTGTATGACTACAATTATTCATTTATATTCAGAATAGTATTTGAATAAGTCACATTATGATTCATATGCTTTCTGAAATGAGGTGGTGGTAAACTCAGAAAAGGTGGTAAACTTATATAAAAAAAATAAATAAAAAAAATAAAATAAAAAAAAGGCTGAAGAAGTGAGGCTGAATGTACCTGGTATAGGAGTATTTATTGTTCCCTCTGTTATTCTGCAGTTTCACCACTGGCTGTAATGAGGAAAAGATTACTTATGAAACAAAGACCACAAAAATCTCATTACCATTATTAATATCAATGTCATTTTCCTCAGAGCTCCATACTACATGCCCATATAAAGCAGTCCTTAAAGGCTGGACTACATTACATGACTTTTAAAGGGGTCATATGATGCTTTTTTAAAGATCATTATTTTGTGTATTTGGTGTAACAGAATATGTTGACATGCTTTAATGTTCAAAGATATCACCATACTTCCCCAGCTAATTAATAATAGGACATTAAGACTTTTTAATTGTATTAAATTTATTTGTATTTTATTTTATTTGTATTATTTTGCATTAAATATTTTCTGAAATGTTGTTTAAATATGCAAATGATGCATTATTCAATTAAATATGTGCTAATCTATAGACGCAAATAAAGTCTAACAAAATAAAATAAACACTTAAATGTGAAATCTGAAAGAGAACATGTAGCAAAATAGCCCAAAATCACAAAATAAAAAAAAACTAATGCACGAAAAAAAAAACTATTATTTTGCCTGTAGCGTCTTACTTTAAAATCTATACAAAGATTTAAAACACCAGGAATCATACACTTAAATGATTACAGAGCAAAACTGGACATTATATACTAAATGGCTACTATGACTACTGAATTACACACTACTACACTTTCATGTTGTTCTGACATAAAGACACAAAGTGTGCCACATTGCTAGGAGATGAATGAAAAAAATGGCAACATGCATTCTAAAATCAGCTCAAAATATCAAACGTGTTTGATATCTCTTGACTGGATGGAATCATAGTTTGAATCACGTCTGTACACTACACAACTTTCACAACTGACCAATATCTGCCGACTGGCTCTAGCTTCTGGCAACAAGCGCTAACTCCTCCAGACTTTGAATCTGGGCAAAAAACTAGGCAAAATTGGTGTAGTGCAGTCTAAAGAGAGATAATTTTTCTTGTGTTGTTTTGGTCTAAGGGGGAAGTAAATATTCTGCTGTATTATCTCACCTTCCTACAGGTGGCTATCATCCTCTGTTCCTCTTTGGCTGAAGTGATCATAGGAATGTGACATCCCCTGCAGACATCCCTGCGTTTCTGCATTAACATCAAGCAAGCCATTAGTAAGTGACAGACCAACAGTCAAACACCTTCCTTGGCTCAAAGAAGCATTCAACTTCTCTACACTGATGGTACAGAAACACGCTCCAGTGGATCCTCTAACCTGTAATGTGGTGAGGCAGTGCTGCACAAGACCCTGCAGCCTGTAGTACTGCGCCTCCTTCAACACCTCCTCTAGCTCCCGTGTGCTCTCCGGCAAAGGAACCGTCCCGTCCCGCAGGAAGTTCAGCACCAGGGAAAAGTGTCTCCCACATCTGTCCAGTACCACCCAGCCTTAAAACAAGTGAAGAAATATTTAAATAAACACCTCTGATCTAGTTTCTGCATCTGTTATTGTAGAATAACGCTTGGGAACAGGGGCAACAAACAGCTTTTGTCCTAGGTACACTTCCACATAGTTTTTCAGGTAACTTTGTAGGAAGATTTCTTCAAGTGTCTTGGAGACGTTGTCACAGTTCTTCTGGATTTAGTCTGGCTCAGTTTTTTTAGTTTCTTTATGTAATGACTCGATAATGATGAGATCAGATCTTACCAACACCAAACTTTTGAAAAGTATTGTATAACAACACATTCTCATGCTTTTTCTTACCCTCTGAGTCTATGGTGACCTCTGTGTTTCCGTCACAAATACTCCTGAGCAGACTGTCCTCCTTGCTGAGCGTCTGGACCGTGGTGTAGTGGAGAGTTCCCCCCACGTTGAGCTTCACATACTTACTCCCCGCCAGGCTCCTGCCGGCCTTTTCTTCCCCAACATGGCTGGAGGATGATGCAGCAGAACCGGACACAGTCACCACATTCCCGCCAGATGAACCAGATGCCTCGGCAGACATCAGGGGAGTAGAAATCAAATACTGCTTATTCGCTGCCTAAAGATATAAAGCCCACAAATACAGAGCAGACAGAATTACGGTCCGATTATTATGATATGTTTTAAGCAGTACTGAGTCATTCTGAAATGCAGTGGTTGAGGAATAGTTCATCCATGTTTCCTCACTCTCATGTCGTTCCAAACCTGTATCATTTTCTTTCTTCCATGGAAAACAAAAGGAGACTTTCTAAAGAATATACTTGTTTTCATTCATGTAATTTAACTGGACTGGAGCTGTCAAGTACCCAAATTACAAAAAACAGCAAAAAATCAGTCCTAGATCTCTTTTGTGTGTTCATGAGAGTTCATGAAAGTAGCAGCGATGTCCAATTTGTGAACAAAATTGTTCCTTAAAGCCTCGAGTCAGATCTTTTGAGTAAATCAGTTGATCCAGTTAATAAAACTGGTCTGAATGCTTCATATATTAACTGAATTGAACTAATCCAGTTGTTAAGTTCAACTAAAACAGTTTCCCACTGAAGGGCAACATTTCCAGTGAAGAGCATCTGTTTATATGATTTTAAAATGATCAAATGGTTTCAAAAGACTTGGAAAAACAGCACACAAGTCACATGGATACTTTTATGATACTTTTAACTATGCTTTTTATCATTTCGGATGCCTGACAGCCCCAGTCCTCATATGAAAAAGACTGTCCCGAAATATCTGCAAAAACTCATCTTTTGTTCTACTTACTTACTTACATGTTTGAAAAATAGTAACTTATGTAAATAATATCAAAACATTCTTTTCTGTCTGACTCTGAACTATTCCTTTAAAAGGAAATTTAGCCAGCAGGACATCAAAGCGATCTCTAGTGATTACTCACAGGATTTCACATATGTTCAGAAGACATACAATTTTATGAGAGCAAAATAAACTAATAAATGTTGTGACATCTTCAGAGATATGCGCGAACAAGGTGACAGTACACCATTATTTACAGTCATAAACTGTGCACACCACTGTAACGATATCCGAAAACACAAAGACAACATCCAGAAAGTCAGAAACATAATACATGAAATACAAAGCAATGCTTTTATCATCCGTCATACTAGAAAATCCAAAGATCCCACTGGGGTATCCCTAAAAACTAAAACATATAAAATATAACACCCCTTTAGTAGTACTCAGAGGCTTGTGAATATCTGCCCACTCCACTGGGGAGGCCACAGATGTGTTTCTGTACTGATATCAAAGGAAATGGACAGAATTAGGTCAACACATTCAGTAAAATCCTAACTCCAGCTGAGAGATCTCGCTAGTCCTCGTCTAGACCACACCAAATATATTTCCCACCGTTCACTGGCCATTTAATAACTTGACAACTGACGGTTAAAGGGAAACACATCCACATTACGTGTCTTATACTGATAAGCTTATTAGCCCCTGAGCTAGCTCTTGATAACATTAGTATGGCTGTCAACGAGCAAACACTCACCGAGCTGGGTCCCCGCGATAAGGTGCACAAAATATAAAGTATTCGCGACGGACAGTTATATCTATAACACTAAGCCTGCCATGATTTTTCACCAAATCATAATTTCCTCTGTTGTCTTGCAGCACGACTGTCCTGTTCCTCTTTCTTGCTTGTTGTGGGTTGACAATGGCTGCTTCCCCTCGCGAGGAGTGTCTTTCGTAGACTGATTGGCCCACCTCAACGTCAGTCAAGAGAGTTAGTCCCGCCCCCAGTCTGAATCCAGCCAATCGTAAAGGCCAGTTTTATAAGGTCAACGTTTTCTTCTGTGACACAAAATTTAGTTTAAATTTTTTAAACATTTTTTGTTCTGTCTTGGGAACGTGAAAAACGTAAATTAATGTACCGTGTGATTGTGTATACACACACAAGCACATAAATGTGTGTATGTTTATAGCTTGTGTATATCTATCTATCTATCGATCTATATATGCTATTTTGCTAATAGCAAAGAAAATACCAGTATGTATTATCCATAAAGATGTCATTTATGAAAGACACATTCACCATCCAACAGAGACTTTTATTTAATCTTAAATCTCAGCAAACAAATGTCTTCATGACAAGTATATTATGTTGATAAATAAATAACAATCAAGTAATACTACAATGCAACAAAGCCCTCCACAACATGGGCTCTGGTTATGGCACAGTGGAAAAGACGAAACTCACTGCATATTAACAAGAAACCATGAGATAAATAAATAAATTAATTAAAAAATGCAATTTATAAAAAGCATTTCAGTTCGATTACTGCATCACAGCAAGCAGTTTTTTTCTGTATATATTTTCCTCAACATAGTGCATATGCAACAACATCAACTCTGATAACAATGACAGTAAGTATAATTGATCATGAATCCTAAGCTGAAGCGGTAAAATATACAATCGTTGCGTGCCGTAAGCGAGAGGACATTCCGCTCCTCTGAAACATGGTCATTCAACATCAAGCAGAAATAGATTCTTAAGAAACAGCAAAGAACAATATGAAATGCTGGCATTGTCCTCATTATTACATAATAATGTGAGAAATACTATGGCAACCAGTGAAACGTGAAGTGACGTCACATTATGGGATGTATTTTGGCACTGAATCCGCTTGTATACTCAATATTCAATCAAAATATTTACATTCAATATGTTCTTGTCATCATGTATATGTATGTGTGAATGTGTGGCCATGTGTCTGTATACAAACATGGGAACAGAGTATAATTTTAATTTTTCAGATTATATACGTATGTGTACTTATCTTTGTCAAAGTCTCTTTCTTTCTCTCTCTCTCTCTCTTTCTCTCCCCATTCAATTTCTCGTTCTTTCTTTCACTCCCTCACTTTACAGTCCTTAAGGCACCAGACCTTCTGTTATAAAACATGCCTGACTGTGGAAATCATACTCACCGTATGTACATACAACTATTTTTTTGTTACTTCCAGTATTTCATTACTCTGATGTACATATACAGCCAATAACATACACACATGTAAACATGCGCTAACATACTACACAGGCACCTGCATCAACTCACAAGCAAACGCACTTGGTACGTACATACATCAGTGAATCGACCGAGAGGGAGGAGAGAGAGACTGTGCAGAGTGGGATTCATGTGTTGTCATTAATTGAGTAAAACAAATGAATGTCTTGCAGAGAGAGAGAGAAAAATAACAGTATCCTTTCTTTTCTTCTCCTTTTCAGTCACCCAAAATTTGGATTCATTTGAAGACTTCTGTCTCAGATGGACACCTCATACTCTCGGGTGTCCTACAATCAGAGAGGGAAACAAACGTCACTAGCAAATACGACAGAAAATCGTCATCTAAAGCCAAGCAGCATTGTTTATTTTTTGTAAAAATTATAATTAATATAATACAGATAAATTGACATTACATACAACAAAACGATAGAAAACACCACTTTTTATAAAATGTATATGATGATACAGCAGCATCTGCACTCCTGTTTAAAAGTCTGGGGTCAGTATATGATTTCATTGCTTTAAAAAAGAAAACAGAAATTAATACTTTTAGCAAAGATGCATTAAATTGATTAAAAGTGACAGTAAAGACATTTATGACTGAGCTTTCTATTCATAAAATAATCCTGAAAAAAGCAGGATTTTGACAAAAAAAATTAAGCTGCAGACCTGTTTTCAACACTGATAATAATAATAATAAATGTTTCTTGAGCCACACATCAGTATATTAGAACGATTTCTGAAGGTTCATGTGACACTGAAGACTGAAGTAATGATGCTTTGGAAAATATATTACAATGAAAAATAATTATTTAAAATTGTAATAATATTTTTGCAATATTTCTGGTTTTACTGTATTTTTGATCAAATAACTGCAACCTTGGTGAGCATAAAGCCGCGGTCACACTAGACTTTGAGCATGCAAAACAATTTCTCCAATGGTCGTGATGTGACGTCACGCTGTACGGCGTCTTTTTAAAAACTTAAATTCAACACGTAACAAATTATAATACATCTAAAATGTAAAAACATACAATCTACTCCACTTTCCTGCAGCGCTGCAGTTTTAAATGTATGTTGTTTTAATTCAGATATGAGGTCATGCTGTGACGTATCGATCTGTCGTTGGTCACACGGGGTCACGTGATGCGAATTCGCAGGCCAGAGTTCACCAAGTTTGAACTTTGGAACACAGCAAAATATCTTCGCACGGGCTTGCGTTTCCGGTCTGATACATTCGCATGCATATGAATGGAAGTCAATGGAACGAAAAGTCTAGTGTGACCGTGGCCTAAGAGACTTCTTTCAAAAACATTAAACCCAAACTTTTGAATGGTAGTGCATCTATATATTTCTACACATAAAATAAGATCAGGGAATATCTGTGCTGGAAGGTCTGCAAGATCGAAGATAGCAAACAGACTATGATTCCCTAAAGAGAAAATCAATGCCTTGGATTTCTTGGTGTTCAGTTACACATTCTAACAGTTTATAAGTACAAATTCCACTAGGTTGTGAGCATCTTACCCCTGCCTCATAGAGAGGGTTGTTAAAGTCAGACTCCACCGTTATGGGACTGTAGGAGTGGGTGTGAGAGAGAGACTTCCAGAACAACGGTTTCCACTGCCACCTACACACACTGAGAGGGACAGGAAGAGACGATGGACGAGGTGTTAGTGCAGAAGAGCTAAATAAGGAACAGCTGTGAAGAAGGTTTTGATGCAAGGAATGCAAGGAAGGTTTGATTTTATCCATAGGGAAATGGGTTAGGAAATGGTAGAATGTTGTTTATTTATTTATTTATTTCATTTCATTTCAAATTTCCAGCCCAAGAGCCACCAACAACGACCTTTTCTCTGAAATAATGTGCAATAGTAAATTATACAAAATAAGACCAGGAGCATTCGCATTGTAAAGTACATATTTTATAATAATAGGGCCAATTTTGATTTCATGTTAACTTTAACACAAAACAAAAGCATTCAGAAACACAAGCATGCCAAACTTACTTGGTATAGTACATGTAGATTCCACCAATCAGAAGGATGACCAGAATGATTGGCAGGATAATAGCCAATGCAATGTTCTCGCTCAGCATTTGATGAGAGGCCTCTAATGACTGAGAAACTGCAAAGAGTGGAGATTAATAACATCATTATGTGACATAGTGGGCCAAATTATCAAACCAATATGAATAGTACTTAACAATGATAACCAACGTTACCCTCCAGTTTATGATCGTCCAGTAGCCCTTCATAGGCCACTGCAAATAAATAAAGCATGACGTTTTCAAACTCTTCAGACAGAAATGCCAACTCTGTGTATTAGACTAGTTCACATTCACATACCTTTACAGAAGGGTGGTGGGCTGTTCCACTGAGAGGGGTGTCCTGGGACACAGTTGATGATGACTTCCCCAATGAGCTCATAGCCCTCATAGCAGAAGAAGCGCAGTGTCTCACCTGCCTGGTAACTGTGCTTGTACAGAGTCTGGTAGCCATTGTCAGGCACGCCAGGGTTTGGGCATGGATCATATTTTACTGTTTAGCAGAAAAATAGAGGGCAATATGGTTGATTGGTGGCATAGAGGTTAGTACATTAGACAGAAATCTGGTACTTGGGACTAGGCCTGGGCGATAAAACGGTATCGATATTTATCGACAGTACACCTTCTTCGATAACGATATAAAAAATGTTTGATATAGTGCACGATATAGGCACGTGCTATGAGTGACGCAGACAGCACACACAAACACGAACACATGCTGAATTGAGTGCTGTGCCTGCCTGTGATGAGGAGATTGTGAATAAAGAATGAATATTAGTCGAATTTAAAATAAACATTTGCATTTGAATGTATATGAGAAATATAGAAGCTTAATGCGGAGAAGATCTTGAATGGGTTAAAATAGAAAAAACCGAAACCAAGCCATTCACACATTCAGCGTGAATCGTTCAACATTTTTTAGACGGACAAATGACTGCTGCACTTGCGTCTCTCACACAAGAGATGTATAGAAAGCCATGCAAAGTTAAAAAAATATTTGTTGTTTGTCTCAATAAATTGGGTTAATTTAAAAATACAGTGGTTAAATTTAAAAAAAAAAAATTCTATTGCTCTTGGTTTAAAAAAAGGTTATAAAAAATGTCAATAATTATCGATACCGAACGATATGAAACATTATATCGTTGATCATTTTTTTAGCTATATCGCCCAGCCCTACTTGGGACAAAATATTTAGCTGTATCTGCAATGTTTTATCCTGCATATACTAGAATTCACAAGTTCGGGGTCTGTAAGATTTAAAGTTTTTGAAGTCTCTCTAGTTTACCATCCTGCATTTTTTCTGATCTACAATACAGTTATGTATAACTTTTTCATACATTTTACAGTTACAATTTATTTCTGTGATGCAAAGCTGAATTTTCAGCATCGTTACTCAAGTCTTCAGTGTCACATGATCCTTCAGAAATCATTCTAATATGCTGATTTGCTGCTCAAGAAACATTTTTTAAAATTATCAATGTTGAAAACTTGTGCTGATTAATATATTTGTGATTTTTTTACAGCATTTATCTGAAATCTAAAATTTTTAGTTACATTGTATGTCTTTACTGACACTTTTGATCATCCATGCTTAATAAAAGTATTAATTTTAAAAAAT